GCTCATGGGCTAATTTAGAGGGCTGCTGCTTTGAGCTAATTCCACCCATATGCCAATCTTCACACACTCACTGTTGAGAAGGCAGGCAGCGGTCCTCTTGGTTTCTTCCACACATCGGTTACCTGAAAAGGGGCTTCCTCCTGAGCTTGATGTCTTCTCAAGTTTGGAGATATCCTTCCAAGCACACAAACTCCTGTATTAAGCCACCCCACACTGGGACTCATGGTGATACCTGTCACTTAAGAAAAGCACTAAACATGTGACAAAAGTTGCTCTCTCTTCTCTACCCACTCAGTAGGCACCCCTAGCCCCAACCAGCCAGGAAAATAAGATTCTCCTCTCTCACCTGTGGAGGCAGCCCCCACCTGAAACCTGTCATCACTCTAGGGAGTCAGGCAAACTCTGGGAGCTGTTTGGGGTAAGGGCTGCCGGCTGGCGGCTAGAGCATTGTTTCGTCAGCTGAAGCTATTTTATGTGATTCTAGGGGCGGCTCCGTGCTTTGGCACCGCCTTCTCCAGCAGCCAGCAGCCAGCCTGCTCTCTCCTGGGCCTGGAGGACGCTGACTACACACAGCAAAAGCGTCTGGCTGTTTGATCAAACCAAATCTGGTCCCACACCTTGAAAACACAGAGGCTTCCAGACATGAAAGGAGCAGCAAAGGCCTGGGTTGGTGTCAGGAAGAAAGGAGGAGGAACAAGATAAAGATGTTGCCAGGTGTTCGAAAAGTGCAACCCGGCCACCGACAGTGATGGAGAAGGGATGCGGTGCTTATTAAAACCAAGGGGTGGACAGCAGATAGGATTGGGCCAGGAGCAGAGAGCCCAACTCCAAATCAGGGCCCCGGGGAGGGGTGAGTAGCTAGCTAGCTGGAGGGGATGCCAGGGCGCTGTCCAGGCCACAGGGACCCCAAGGCCCACTTCCTGCTAGAACTGTAATTAGAAAGCCCAGTGGGTGGGGTGGGTGGGCCACTGCCCCAGGTGGGGGGTTTAGAACGGAGTCTATACAAACAGTGGCCCCCAAAGGGGCTCACAGTGGAGCCAGGGGGCCTGTTCAGCTGCGGGCTCCCCAAGCATTCCCACCCAGCACAGAAAAAAATGGCCAGACTGGTCACTACTCCAGCCCTGGACAAATTCTGGCCGAGCCCCTGATAGACAGGAAAAAATCCCTCCGAGGACACACTCAGTGGCACAAAGTCCAGTAGGGTAGAAATGGCGGTTGGGGCCAGCCCCACATTTTAGTAATTCCTATGTTAGAATGAAAAGGAAAAGAAAATGGACA